TAGTCCCAGCTGCTCAGGCGTCTAAAGTGGGAGGATCACCTGAGCCTGGGAGATTGAGACTGCAGTGAGCAGTGTTTACACCACTGCCCTCCAGCCTGTCTCCACATTAATTTAAAAAAAAAAAAGATGTGCAGTGAAAGGGGAACAACCAAGTATTAAAGCACATTTAAAATTTAACTCAGTATGGTGCTGGCATGAGAAATAGACATAGAATAAATAGGATAGAAACAGATTTTTGTATGTATGAGAATGTAATATATGATAAAAGGAGAACTTCACCAAATTGTACAAGAAGGATTATATCATAATTAGTTCCCTTACAAATGGTAACTAAGAGCACCTGCTGTGCCAGGCACTATGCTAAGTGCTGTTTTATGGGGTTTTTTTGTTTTGTTTTTGAGACAAGTTCTTTCTCTGTCACCCAGGCTGGAGTGCAGTGGTGGAATCTGCTCACTGCAGCCTCGACCTCCTGGGCTCAAGCAATTCTTTCTCCCATGTCAGCCTTCTGAGTAGCTGGGAACACAGGCATGAGCCACAACTAATTTTTAATAATTTTTGTGGAGATGGGGGTCTCCCTGCATTGCCCAGGCTAGTCTTAGTGCTTTTATGTGCTTTTTCTCCTTTGCTTATTACAGCCTTTTGAGATGTAGGTGTTGCTGTTATTACTATATGTATTATATACAAGCTTTAATATATGCATTTAATATATCATTCTAAAGATTTGCAAACTAAATCTCCTAGAGGTCCAGGGGATTTAGTTGCCCAGATTCACATAGAAAAGGAGTAGTAGAACCTAGATTAGAACCAAGGATGTTAGTCTCCAAGTTTGTATTCTTTGCCCACTACATACTTTGTTTTTGTTTGTTTGTGTGTTTTTGAGATGGAGTTTCACTCTTGCCACCCAGGCTGGAGTGCAATGGTGTGATCTTGGCTCACTGCAACCTCTGCCTCCCAGGTTCAAATGATTCTTCTGCCTCAGCCTTCTGAGTGGCTGGGATTACAGGCACCCGCCACCACAGACAGCTAATTTTTTGTTTGTTTGTTTTTGAGACGGAGTTTCACTCATGTTACCCAGGCTGGAGTGCAATGGCGCGATCTCGGCTCACCGCAACCTCCACCTCCTGGGTTCGGACAATTCTCCTGCCTCAGCCTCCTGAGTAGCTGGGATTACAGGCACGCGCCACCATGCCCAGCTAATGTTTTTTGTATTTTTAGTAGAGACGGGGTTTCATCATATTGACCAGGATGGTCTCGATCTCTTGACCTTATGATCCACCCGCCTCGGCCTCCCAAAGTGCTGGGATTACAGGCTTGAGCCACCGCGCCCAGCAGACAGGTAATTTTTTGTATTTTTAGTAGAGACAGGGTTTCACCATGTTAGCCAGACTGGTCTCAAACTCCTGACCTCAGGTGATCCACACACCTTGGCCTCCCAAAGTGCTGGGATTACAGGCGTGAGCCACTGCACCTAGCCTGCCACTACATACTTCATAGCTTAAGTTCTTAGCAAGATATTTAGAATATCAGAGGCATTTAGTAAATATAATTCTTAGGTATAACTTAGAGTTTGCTGCATATATTAAAGCTTGTATATAATACATGTAGTAATAATCATATTACTATATTATCATTATTATCATATTATCATATTATCATTAAGATTGAGGAGGCCGGGCGCGGTGGCTCAAGCCTGTAATCCCAGCACTTTGGGAGGCGGAGGCGGGTGGATCACGAGGTCAAGAGATCGAGACCATCCTGGTTAACATGGTGAAACCCCATCTCTACTAAAACTACAAAAAATTAGCTGGGCATGGTGGTGCATGCCTGTAGTCCCAGCTACTCAGGAGGTTGAGGCAGGAGAATTGCCTGAACCCAGGAGGCGGAGGTTGCGGTGAGCCGAGATCGCGCCATTGCACTCCAGCCTGGGTAACAAGAGTGAAACTCCGTCTCAAAAAAAAAAAAAAAAAAAAAAAAAAGATTGAGGAAATTCCTTGGGAATAAGTAAAACTGTTTTTTCCAGAAAATCCCTAGTGGAATCATGGAATTCCAAAAATCACACATGATGAAGCATCAATAAATACTGGTTGATTTAATAATTATTATTTCCTGCTATCCCATTTCTGAGCCCCTCACTCCTCTGACTCATTAAACCCTTCATTCTGTCTCATAAGTCATTCAAGGCTAGTTGAATAGCAGTGCTGGCCCAAAGATGGAGCCAGCATTTCCTTATAAATATCCTGACACTGACGCATTTGTTCAGCAAACATCTATTAAGCATCCACTCTCCATGTACTCTATTAAGGTTAGAGAGACATTTAAAATTGCAAATTAACATTACAGTATAAACCAAACCAAACAAAAAGCTCCAGTCCCTAGGAAATTAAATGTTCTCTCCTCTGTGGAGCCTTCTCTAGATTCTCTGAGGTAAATTTAGTCACTGACTCAGAGCACCCAGAACAATCTGTTCAACTTCTAAAATCACACCCTTTGCGTTGTGTTAATCTTTCTGGTTTCACACACTTGACTCCTTTAGGTCAGCTTTTCTCGCAGAGTGGTCAGGATATGACTGGTACAATTCTGCTTTGAAGGATTTTTGTTGAATTTTGTCTTGTTTTGTTTTTGGCTTGGCGTGACCTGATTAATGCATCCAGTCTTTCTTCCAATAAATATTTATCAATACCTACTGTATGCCACGTACTCGGCTAGGTAGTTAATAATAAATAAGGGATAATAAACATAGACAAGCAAAGGCAAACAGACAAGGTCCGAGACCTCATGGGAGCTCACATGGGCACTTGAAAAGAATGTGTTTTCTTTTTTTTTATTATTATTTGTTAATTTTTGCTTTTAAGAATGTGTTTTCTTTGTATTAAGTCAGTCAAGTATTTAAACCTTATTATACTATTCAAATCTTCTGTGAATTTAAATGATTTTTAGGTATATTTTACATATTATAGCTTAATAGTGATATATTAAAGTTTCCCACTGTAATTGCATTTGCGTTCATTTTCTTCTATACGTTTTGCCAATGAAATCAGATGGAAAGGTTAAAAATGAAAGAATCGAGGCGGGTGGATCACGAGGTCAAGAGATCGAGACCATCCAGGTCAACATGGTGAAACCCCGTCTCTACTAAAGATACAAAAAATTAGCAGGGCATGGTGTTGCGTGCCTGTAATCCCAGCTACTCAGGAGGCTGAGGCAGGAGAATTGCCTGAACCCAGGAGGCGGAGGTTGGGGTGAGCCGATACCCCGCTATTGCACTCCACCTGGGAAAAAAAGAGAAAAACCCCTACAAAAAAAAAAAAAAAAAAAAAAAAAAAAGAAAGAATGGGCAAAGGTAAATCAAGGAACTATAAATAAAAAAAAAACAATATTAATAACCTGAGATAGTTATTATCAAATTAGTCCTTCTGACAATCCTACAGTGTCTTCCTGCAATTTCAGGATGAAGATCCAAATTCCTTAATCCTGTTTTTGAGACTCTTTCTTCTCTGATCTACTTTCTTACCCCCACCCCTCCCCCTCACACACATCCGTCCATCCGTCTGTCCATCTGTCTGTCTGGCTATTTTCCCTTTGTCCCCCAGGCTGGAGTGCAGAGGCGTAATCTCGGCTCACTGCAACCCCCACCTCCCAGGTTCAAGCGATTCTCCTGCCTCAGCCTCCTGAGTAGCTGGGATTACAGGCGCACGCCACCACACCCGGCTAATTTTTATATTTTTAGTAGAGAGAGGATTTTGCCGCTTTGGCCAGGCTGGTCTCAAACTCCTGGCTTCAAGTGATATGCCTGCCTCAGCCTCCCAAAGTGCTAGGATTACAGGCGTGAGCCACCGCACCTAGCCTTTTTTTTTTTTTCATTTTTTCCTTTAGCAACGCTACTAACACTACAACCTTTTATTTATTTTTATTTTTATTTTTTTTTGAGACAGAGTCTTGTTCTGTCACCAGCCTAGAATGTAGTGGCACAATCTTGGCTCACTGCAACCTCCAATTCAAGCAATTCTCAGCCTCCCAAGTAGCAGGCACTACAGGTGCCCACCACCATGCCCAGTTAGTTTTTGCATCTTTAGTAGAGATGTGGTTTCACTATGTTGGCCAGGATGGTCTCAATCTCTTCACCTCATGATCTGCCCGCCTTGGCCTCCCAAAGTGCCGGGATTACAGGCATGAGCCACTGTGCCCGGCCCCAAAACAATCTTTTATTTAATCCTTACAATCTCCCTATGAAATGAGTAGGGCAAATTTTATTATCCCTATTTGGTAGATGAGGAAAGCCAAGGCTCAGAAAGGTTAAATAGTTTGTCCATAGCCATCACCTGTTAGTTGGGGGAAACCAACACTCAAATTCAGATCATCTGTCTTCAGAATGCTTGCTCTTTCCATTAAAACACTCTGGCCTTTTATGTGAAATTCAGTTAGCCAGGACCACATCTTGGGTACCATGATATGGTTCATGATTGCAGTTTCTGCCACCTGAAGCCCTCAGTGTTCCTCAGGCTGCCATCAGTCTGGCCTACTTGCTAATCTCGCCTCTGGTCACTCCAAACATGCTTAGCTGCAGCAATATGGAACGTGATGCATTGTGCTGAACCACGCCTTCATGCTTTCACACATTATACTATTTGCTCAGCCTGGAACACCTTTCCCTACGTTTTTTGTCTGACTAAATCCTACAGGCCCTTTGAAACTAAGCTCTTGCTGACTTTTTTCAGCATGCCGTCTCTCACCTTTACAGTCTTCGGTGCTCTTGTAGCAAGCACCCTGTGCATTCTTCCGTCTTGGTACTTAACACACTGTCCTGTCATTGTCCATGTACATGACTGTTTCCTCTGTCTCCCAGACTGGAAGTAGGAAAGCAAAGATTCTCTTTCCTTCATTCAGTTAGCATTGCCAAAACCTAGCCAAGTACTGGTTCATGATAGGTTCTTAGCTTAATAAGTTTTTGTGACATGAATAAGTGAGTTTTGTGGCCTAATAACAGTGCTTTTATCTTCTAGGTACATGGTTCAGTGGCCTGGTGGCCGAATCCTGCATCGCCATGAGCTAGACACCTTCCTCGCACAGGCAGTGTCTACCCAGCTTTATGAACCAGATCAGCTCCAAGAACTCAAGGTGATTTCTTGTACCCTCATTTAAGTTCTTCCTTTTATGAGCCTATGGCACTACTTTAGGTCTTTTTTTTTTTTCTTGGAGCTGAGGAGTAAGTTCTGCAGGTAACTGTTTGATTTACTTTAGCCACATATTTGTGTCTATTAATAAAGCCAAGAGGTGCCTGCTACACTGCTCTCATACTGATAAATGAGAATGGACAGAAAAGATGGGTATTATGCAACGAAAATAAATCATGGCCCATAGACCATGGCAAGGTTTCTGGCTCTTACAAGATACACTATAGGAGATTTATCCTGATGTCCCCTGCTTGTGTCTGAGTAAATGTCCACCCCTCCTTTTAGTGATGTGTCTTGGGTATTAAGTAGAAGTACAGAAAAGCATTAGGAAGGAAGTAAACCCAGCCACTGAGGGCAGTCGAGCATGGAGTATAGAGGTGAGGCTCTGAAGCCAGGCTGCCTTGGGTTTGAATCCTGGCTTCAGTACCTCCTAGCTGTGTGACCTTGGGCAGGTTACTTAACCTCTCTAGCTTCAGTTTCCTTACTTGTAGATTGTATATTAGTCCATTTTGTATTGCTATAAAAGAATGCCTGAGACTAGATAATTTATAAAGAAAAGCAGTTTATTGAGCCCGTTGTTCTGAAGTCAGTACAAAAAACGGTGCCAGCATCTACTCAGCTTCTGATCAGGGCCTCAGGAAGCTTTTACTCATGGTAGAAGGTGAGGGGAATAAGACAAGAGGAGCCAGCGTGTCACCTGGAGAGAGAGGTCACATAAGAGAGAAGGGCAAGGTGCTAGACTCTTTCTTTTCTTTTTTTTTTTTTTTTTTAAAAGATGGGGTTTTACCATGATGGCCAGGTTGGTCTTGAACTCCTGACCTCAGGTGATCCACCCACCTTGGCCTCCCAAAGTGCTAGGATTACAGGTGTGAGCCACCGCACCCGGCGGTGCTAGACTCTTTCTAACAATCAGTTACTGGATGAACTAATAGAGTGAGAACTCACTCATCACCACAGGGAGGACACCAAGCCATTCCTGAGGGATCTGCCCCCATGACTCAGACACCTCCCACTAGGTTCCACTGCCAACATTAGGGATCACATTTCAATATGCAATTTGGAGGGGTCACATAGCCAACTATGTCAGTTTGTGAGGATACTATGTAAAATAATCCATGTAAAACCCCTAGAACAGTGTCTCCCTTTTTTTTTTTTAATTGTACTTTAGGTTCTGGGGTACATGTGCAGATCATGCAGCATTGTTGCATAGGTACACACATGGCAATGTGGTTTGCTGCCTCCATCCCCCTGTCACCTATATCTGGCATCTCTCTCCATGTTATCACTCCCCGACCTCCCCACCCTCCTGCTGTGCCTCCCTTGTCCCACCCCCAACGGACCCCAGTGTGTGATGCTCCCCTCCCTGTGCCCACGTTTTCTTATTATTCAACACCCGCCTATGAGTGGGAACACGCGGTGTTTGATTTTCTGTTCCTGTGTCAGTTTGCTGAGAATGATGGTTTCCAGGTTCATCCATGTCCTTACAAAGGACATGAACTCACCGTTTTTTTTTTTTTTTTTTTTTTTTTTGAGACGGAGTTTCACTCATGTTACCCAGGCTGGAGTGCAATGGCGCGATCTCGGCTCACCGCAACCTCCGCCTCCTGGGTTCAGGCAATTCTCCTGCCTCAGCTTCCCGAGTAGCTAGGATTACAGGCATGCGCCACCATGCCCAGCTAATGTTTTTGTATTTTTAGTAGAGACGGGGTTTCACCATGTTGACCAGGATGGTCTCGATCTCTTGACCTCGTGATCCACCCGCCTCGGCCTCCCAAAGTGCTGGGATTACAGGCGTGAGCCACCGCGCCCGGCTGAACTCATCGTTTTTTATGGCTGCATAGTATTCCATGGTGTATATGTGCCACATTTTCCCTGTCCCGTCTATCGTCGATGGACATTTGTGTTGGTTCCAGGTCTTTGCTATTGTAAACAGTGCCGCTGTGAACATACATGTGCATGTGTCTTTATAATAGAATGATGTATAATCCTTTGGGTATATACCCAGTAATGGGATTGCTGGGTCAAATGGAATTTCTATTTCTAGGTCCTTGAGATGTCTCGCTTTTTTGTTTTTTGTTTTTTGTTTTTTTTCAGATGGAGTTTTGCTCTTATTGCCCAGGCTAGAGTACAATGGTGTAATCTCGGCTCGCTGCAATCTCCACCTTCAAGGTTCAAGCAATTCTCCTGCCTCAGAGCCTCTCAAGTAGCTGAGGTTACAGGCATGCACCACCATGTCTGGTTTATTTTGTATTTTTAGTAGAGACGGTGTTTCTCCATGTTGGTCAGGCTGGTCTTGAACTCCCGACCTCAGGTGATCTGTCCGCCTTGGCCTCGCAAAGTGCTGGGATTACAGGCATGAGCCACCGCACCCGGCCAGTGTCTCATATATTTTAAGTACATAATACTCAAGAAAATGTAGCCATTAATGCAAAACATCCCTCTCTTGACCTTAGTAACCTTGTTCCTTTGAGGCCTCAAGGTCAACTAGAAGATGAAGTTCAGTAAGACTTGAAAATCTTAAGTGAGGTCAGCTAAGATGAGACAGACTCAGACAACCAGTAAGTGGTTGCTCTTTGCAGTAAATGTTGTACTGCTTGTCCTAGAGCAACTGCTCATGCTAAACCACACCTAGGAGGGGACCTGCAAACACTTTCCCTTTTCCTGTTGAAGCTGTCTTCTAACACACTGACTTGACATAACCACTGTGGGAATTGAGGTTTTTCCCAATCTGCTGTCATGCACTTTTTACATAGTTGAGGTAGTATTTATGTATTATATGTTGTGAGTTCTTTCCATTTCACGTAGCACATATTTTCTGTCTTAAAAATGTTAATAAATAATATTTTATATGGATGTATCATTTAATTCTTCTCATATTGGTGACTTAGGTTTTTTTCAGTTTCCCTCTATTATGTGTTGTCTTAGTCCATTTAGAGTTGCTATAAAGGACTATCTAAAGCTGGGCAATTGATAAAGAAAAGAGGTTTTTTGTTTTTTGAGACAGAGTCTCACTCTGTCACCCAGGCTGGAGTGCAGTGGCATAGTCTCGCCTCACTGCAATCTCCGCCTCCCAGGTTCAAGTGATTCTCCTGCCTCAGCCTCTTGCGTAGCTGGGATTACAGGCACGTGCCACCATGCCCACCTAATTTTTGTATTTTTATTGGAAATTTTGTATTTTGTATTTTTAGTAGAAACGGGTTTTTGCCATGTTGGCCAGGCTGGTCTCAAACTCCTGGTCTCAAGCGATCCGCCCACCTCAGCCTCCTAAAATACTGGGATTATAGGCATGAGCCACACTGCACCTGGCCAAGAAAATAATTTTCTTTGGTTCATGGTTCTTCAGGCTATACAAGAAACATGGTGCTGGTATCTGCAAGGTGAACTTCTGAGTCAACAAATGTGAACATTTTCACGGTTCTTCACGCATATTGCTCAATTGTAGTATACTTTTTTTTTTTTTTTAAGTGGAGTCTTGCTCTGTTGCCCAGGCTGGAGTGCAGTGGCACAATCTCGGCTCACTGCAACCTCCATCTCCCAGGTTCAAGCAATGCTCCCACCTAATCCTCCTGAATAGCTGGAACTACAGACGCCCGCCACCACACCTGGCTACTTTTTGTATTTAGTAGAGATGGGGTTTCACCATGTTGGTCAGACTGGTCTCGAACGCCTGGCCTCAGGTGATCTGCCTGCCTTGGTCCCCTGAAGTGCTGGGATTACAGGCGTGAGCCACCGTGCCTGACCTTGTAATATACATTTCTTACCAGCTTTATGTGAATGCCCATTTATCTCACTGCAGCAGCAGCAGAGCAGCATTAAGTGTACTTTCAGCCTTTACTTTCTAATTATTTTTCTAATTTTACAGGTGAAAAAACTGTCTCAGGTTGGTATCTTTAATGTTGTAATGAGTACCTTTCAAATCATCTCAGGGAAAGACATGGGTAGAAGCTGCTTATGCACTGAGATGTCTACAGTGAATGACAACATGTTCACATTTAACTGGAAGAATCAGCATGACAGGAATAAGAGTAAATGTTACCAAGAATAGTGGTTTCTTAATAGTAATATTTCATCTGTGGTGGTTTCAGATTGAGAAACTGGATGCCCGAGGGATCCAGCTTGCTGCCCTCTTCATGAGTGGAGTCGACACAGCTCTGTTTGCTAATGATGCCTGTGGCCAGCCAGTCCCTTGGGAGCATTGCTGCCCCTGGATTTACTTCGATGGCAAGCTGTTCCAGAGCAAGCTAATTAAAGCAGGCCGAGACCGAGTATCTCTGATAGAGCTCTGTGATGGCCAGGTATCAGCATGTCGGGCTGCTAAGGACTAGCTCTCATCTCCTGTGGGGATGAATGGGCAGGGAGGGGAAAAGAACAGAGACACTGGAGAGGAATAGGACAGAAGCAGGAGAATGTGTCTCACTTTAACCTGACTTAGTCAACAGTGGTCCCAAAAGCCCGTAGTCTGATACTTACACGTAAAATTTTATGTTGGAAAGTATTTTTTAAAGAACTTAAAGTTTTCATATCCCTTTTCTTCCTCTGAGTATTTCTTTTCCATGGAATGTTCAGATACACTATATATACCTTCCCTCCAACTCTTAGAATTTCATTTCTCTTATTTACAAAAACTTTGTCTCTTTTGCAAGTGATGATTTTTTTGTGAAGGAACTGTGTTTGGAAACAGAAGAGGGTAGTTAAGCTGACGACAGAGTAGAAGCAGAGGATTTTTAAAAACGAAACATTGGGAAGGGTGAGGGGAGGCAAGGGAAAGGAAACCTTACTGAACTCCTTTATCCGCTTTGGTGGGGAAAGAGCTGAGGGACTAGAGCAGGGATTGGCAGACCACCCAGCACACCTCCTGTTTTTCATAACTATTAGTCCAATGAACTATCCATAGTGCTACAAAACATCTGTTTTTTGTTATGTAGACCACCCCATTTTTTAAAAAAGATTTTATTGGAACACAGTCACATTCATTAATCTACATACCATCTACGACGGCTTTCATTTTTCTTTTCTTTTCTTTTTTTTTTTTTTTTTAAGAGAGTCTCACTCTGTTGTCCAGGCTGGAATGCCGTGGCACAATGTTGGCCTCACTGAAACCTCCGCCTCCCAGGTTCAAGCGATTCTCCCCTCTCAGCCTCCTGAGTAGCTGGGACTATAGGCGCGTGCCACCACGCCTGGCTAATTTTTTAATATTTTCAGTAGAGACGGGGTTTTAGCACATTGGTCAGGCTGGTCTCGAACTCCTGACCTCAGGTGATCCACCTCCCTTGGCCTCCCAGTGTTGGGATTACAGGCGTGAGCCACCACACCTGGCCTATGACTGCTTTCATGGTATAATAGCAGAGTGGAATAATTGTGACGGAGACAATATGGCCTACAAAGCTTAAAATATTTACTATCTGACCCTTTACAGAAGAAGTTTGTAGACCTCTGGACTAAAGGTATCAGGATCTCCAATTCTGGATATGGGGGAGAAAGTTAAAAGGCTTTTTGTTTTTTATTTATTTACTTATTTTTTTTCTTTTGAGACGGTGTCTCGCTTTGTCACCCAGGCTGGGGTGCAGTGGCACGATCTCAGCTCACTGCAAACTTCCGCCTCCTAGGTTCAAGCGATTCTCCTGCCTCAGCCTACCGAGTAGCTGGGACTATAGGCGTACGCCACCACGCCGGCTAATTTTTTGTATTTTCAGTAGAGACGGGGTTTCACTGTGTTAGCCAGGATGGTCTCAATCTCCTGACCTCGTGATCCACCCACCTTGGCCTCTCAAAGTGCTGGGATTACAAGCGTGAGCCACTGCGCCCAGCAAAAGTCTTTTTATTTGTCAGTATTTTATTTCTCTTTTATCTAATTCTATTACGTCCTCCTTAAAAAGTGACCCAGCCCAATGCCAGCTATGTAATAGGCCATCAGTAATCCTTATTGTTAAATTTGTCTTCCTTGATCTAGTCAATGTACAGCACAAGCCCTGATTCAGAACTCATATGATGGTAGCGTGATGTCATGTAAAGAGTGGGGACTTTGGTGCCAGACAGGCTTCCTGAGTGTGTAGCTTTGAGCCCTTTAATGACAGGCCTCAGTTCACTTAGTGGGAATAGAATTGTGAGACTGTACCTAGAGTGGTCCATACTGGGCCTCAAACATGGGACAAGTTCGAAAAATGGCAGCTGCTATTATTACCCTGTTCCTCATTTGAAGGCTGACCTGGCAACCAAAGTGGAGAAGATGAGACAGAGCATCCTTGAAGGAGTCAACATGAATCATCCACCACCTTCTGCTCTACTTCCGTCACCTACTTTTGTGCCTCCCATAGTGCCCTCTCTCTACCCCGTTTCACTTTATTCCCGAGCTATGGGCTCCATGCCACTTCCACCTCAAGGAAGGAGCCGGGGATTTGCAGGTCAGTACCTAAATAGAGGAGGTATTTGTCATCCTCAATTTATGTAATCATAACCGATCCAGTCATTATTGTCAGTAACAGAATCAACAGTTTCACATATATCTCATCTCACTGACTTTTTTTTTTTTTTTTTGAGACAGAGTTTCACTCTTGTCACCCAAGCTGGAGTGCAATGGTGTGATCTCGGCTCACTGCAACCTCTGCCTCCCGGGTTCAAGTGATTCTCCCGCCTCAGCCTCTTGAGTAGCTGGGATTACAGGCATGTGCCACCACGCCCGGCTAATTTTGTATTTTTAGTAGAGACTCTGTTTCACCACGTTGACCAGGATGGTCTCGAGCTCTTGACCTCAGGTGATCCATCCGCCTTGGTCTCCAGAAGTGCTGGGATTACAGGCATGAGCCACAGCACCTGGCCTCATCTTTCTTAGTTTCTGTGCTGTGTAGTTTGAAGAGCAGTTTATGTCCATTTACACTTCTTTTTTTTTTTTTTTTTTTTTTTGACGGGGTTTCTCTCATTTTACCCAGGCTGGGGTGCAATGGCGCGATCTCGGCTCACCGCAACCTCCGCTTCCTGGGTTCAGGCAATTCTCCTGCCTCAGCCTCCTGAGTAGCTGGGATTACAGGCACGCACCACCATGCCCAGCTAATGTTTTGTATTTTTAGTAGAGACGGGGTTTCACCATGTTGACCAGGATGGTCTGGATCTCTTGACCTCGTGATCCACCCGCCTCGGCCTCCCAAAGTGCTAGGATTACAGGCTTGAGCCACTGTGCCCGGCCCCATTTACACTTCTAAGACCACTCTCCATAGAGGTAATTGGTCCCCAGGGATTTGACTCTCACCAACCAAACTCATGAACTAATGTGGAAACCAGAAGCCACTTTATTACTTTTGAGAACTGCAAGTCATGTGGACCGGATCTTCATGGTTGCTTCCCTATAGTCAGTGCACACAGGAGCTTGCAGGAAGATCAGTGGGAGTAAATGGCCAGTGCTGGTAGACAACAATAGCTTGATGACAACATTTCTACTCTGGGAATAGACTTGACACATTTCCCTTCCTTCAGCTCCAGAAACATGGAGATAAATATGTCACCATCCATGCCACCAGAGGATTGCAGTTTAGTGAGGAAAACGCACACACACAGTCATATGTACACACAAACATATGCATAAATTATGGTGGCACCTGAGCTACAACTTAACTATGAGTAGACAATCATGCCTAGATTGCTCAGATACTGATCCTGATAATTCTTTTTTTTTTTTTTTTTTTTAAAGATGGGGTTTCACCATGATGGCCAGGCTGGTCTTGAACTCCTGACCTCAGGTGATCCACCCACCTCGGCCTCCCAAAGTGCTAGGATTCCAGGCGTGAGCCACCACACCCGGCCTGATCCTGATAATTCAAACAACCTGTCTCCTGGTGAAACAAGATTTTTTGTTTGTTTTGTTTTTGAGACAGGATCTTTTTCTGTCCACAGCCTGGCTAATTTTTATATTTTTAGTAGAGATGGGGTTTCATCATATTTGTCAGGCTGGTCTCGCACTCCCATCCTCAGGTGATCTGCCCACCGTGGCCTCTTAAAATGCTGGGATTACAGGTGTGAGCCACAGCACCCCGGCAGTGAAATAGGATATTTTAGTGGAGACATTTTAACATAAAACAGCAAGATTCTGTGATTGGGTCAGAGTGTCATTGCTGTGGTTGAAGGTGTTTGTTATCTATTGCTCCTCCCTTTAAAAGAAAGAAAGCTGGAAGTTGAAGTTAGTTTTCTAGGGTGACAAAATTCAGTATGGGTGGTTAGCTCAAGGCTGGGCTTAGATGAGCAGTGTGAAAGTCTGCTCTGGTAACTCCCTGTTCAGTCAGATGGTGATCAAGTTTTAAAAACCAGGAAGCCAGCCAGTCCATCCCTTTCAGATGACTTTACAGATCCATTCTCTGGTTCTTTGTGTGTGGATTTTATTTTGTAAGTCTCAAAAGACAGCCTTAATTAAAGCCAGGTTCTCAGAAGATCACCACCGCCCTAGCTACCAGTGATGCTTAGTCTTACTGGTGGTTCACAAGGAGCCTCTTGCCTCCTGAAACCCCACAGCAGGATCCTCAAATGCAAGTCTTTCTTGTCTCTCTTAGAAGTAACTAGCACTTGGGCCGGGCGCGGTGGCTCAAGCCTGTAATCCCAGCACTTTGGGAGGCCGAGGCGGGTGGATCACGAGGTCAAGAGATCGAGACCATCCTGGTCAACATGGTGAAACCCCGTCTCTACTAAATATACAAAAAAAATTAGCTGGGCATGGTGGCGCGTGCCTGTAATCCCAGCTACTCAGGAGGCTGAGGCAGGAGAATTGCCTGAACCCAGGAGGCGGAGGTTGCGGTGAGCCGAGATCGCCCCATTGCACTCCCGCCTGGGTAACATGAGTGAAACTCCGTCTCAAAAAAAAAAAAAAAAAGAAGTAACTAGCACTCTAGGCCAGGCACAGTGGCTCATGACTGTAATCCCAGCACTTTGGGAGGCTGAGGTGGGCAGATCACTTGAGGTCAGGAGTTACAGACCAGCCTGACCAACATGGTGAAACCCTGTCTCTACAAAACATATTACAGACAGGCAGGCACCTGTCTGTAATCCTAGCTACTCGGGAGGCTGAGACACAAGAATTGCTTGAACCCGGGAGACAGAGATTGCAGTGAGTCAAGATCGCGCCACTGCACTCCAGCCCAGGAGACATGGTAAGACTCTGTCTCCAAAAAAAAAAAAGGAAAGTAGCATTCTAGTTCCTTAAACCCTCAAGTTTTATATAATTGAAGGATTTTTTTTTTTTTGAGACTTTTTTTTTTTTTTTTTTTTTTTTGAGACAGGGTCTCACTCTGTTGCCCAGACTGGAGTGCAGTGGTGTGATCACGGATTATTGAAGCCTCGACTTCCTGGGCTCAAGTGATTCTCTCACCTCAGCCCCCCGAATGGCTGGAACTACAAGCACACACCAACATGCCTGGCTAATGTTTTGTATGTTTTTTGTAGACATGAGGTCTTGCTATGTTGCCCTGGCTGGTCTTGAACTCCTGGGCTCAAGCAATCCTCCCTGCCTTGGCCTCCCAAAGTGCTGGGATTACAGGCGTGAGCCACCGCGCCCGGCCCCTATTCTTGCTTTTTAATTATAAATTACTATTAGTTTAGTTTCATTATTTTCAGTTTAGTTTGGTTGTTTGGCTAATTCTACAATGTGTAATGATACATATTTGTATCAAAAGTAGTTTAGGACAGGGCACAGTGGCTCATGCCAGTAATCCCAGCAGTTTGGGAGCCCGAGGTTGGCGGATCACTTGAGGTTAGGAGTTTGAGACCAGTCTGGCCAGTATGGTAAAATCCTGTCTCTACTAAAAATATAAAAATTAGCTGGCCATGGTGGCACGTGCCTGTAGTCCCAGCTACTCAGGAGGCTGAGGCAGGATACTCACTTGAATCTGGGAAGTGGAGGTTGCAGTGAGCCAAAATCACACCATTTTGCTTCAGCCTGAGTGTTGCAGCAAGACTCTGTCTCAAAAAAAAAGAAAGAAAAAGTAGTTTAGGTTTGTAATTTTCTAGTAACTAAATATTAAGACATTTATTCTCTCAACAGATATCTCTCTCAACAAATATGCTAGGCTATGTGGTTAAAACATAAATCACCTGCATGTTACTTGCTAAAGTGGATGCGTACAGATATTCAGCCCTCCCCTCTAAATTTGCTTCCATCATGACACCTTGCTGTTATTGTTATCACAGATTCTTTTTTTTTGAGATGGAGTCTCACTCCGTTGTCCAGGCTGGAGTGCAGTGGTGTGATCTAGCTCACTGCAACCTCCACCTCCCAGGTTCAAGCGATTCTTCTGCCCCAGCCTCCCCAAGTAGCTGGGACTACAGGCACTTGCCACCACGACCGGCTAATTTTTATATTTTTAGTAGAGACGGGATTTCCCCATGTTGGCCAGGCTGGTCTCCAACTCCTGACCTCAGGTGATTCGCCTGCCCCGGCCTCTCAAAGTGCTGGGATTACAGGTGTGAGCCACCAAGCCTTGCCAGAGTCTTTTTTTTTTTTTTTTGAGACGGAGTTTCGCTGTTGTTGCCCAGACTGGAGTGCAATGGCACGATCTCGGCTCACTGCAACCTCTGCCTCCTGGGTTC